TTTATTCCATAAATATAGCACACCTTAAGATTTATATATATATATATATATATATATATATATATATATATATATATATATATATATATATATTTGTGTGTGTGTGTGTGTGTGTATTTAGGCAGCATTTTTTCATTCATACAAGTTTCATTAAATAATATAGACAAGTATTTATTTTATGCAAATATTTTTCATATTGTCTAATAACCTTAATAACATTATCCTTAAGCGAAGAAAGAAAATCACAATATTGATATATTTTTTTCAATACATATATATATATATATATATATATATATATATATATATATATATATATATGTATGCATATATATGTATATATACAGGTGAAGCAAATATTAAGAGAAAATTTAAAAGAGAAAGAAAGAAAAGAATGTAGGAAATATAACAAATGAACAAGACATAGTAAAGTGAAAGAAAAAAGACAAAACGTGGTCAAAATTACTGACATAAATTAAATCAGGCGAAGTTTTCTGGGGGTGCTTGAACGAATATTAAACACCGCTCGAAGCATGTCAATGTACTCCCCATCCAGGTACGAAGCAAACTTGGCGAGGACATACGCATGGTTCTACAGCAAGCCTAAGCTACGCGAATCGGTTACTGGAGAAAAAAGTCATACCAGATTGTTTCAAACGTTTAAATATTACCGTATTTTTTTACAACCCTATGGATAATACCAGATCTTTGTCTTAGAAAACGATAATTAACACATGATGTTTATTTACATTATTATGTTTTTTTAATTAATATCCGATATTACAGAAGACAATAATGTGTTTGCGAATACAATTTATCCTTAACAATGGATGTCTTATTGGAAATGGATATTGTTTATTTATGTTGTATAAACAAACCGCCTCATCACTTTCAGAAGATCGAAGTGACATGTGATACAATGGCTTTCATACCAAAAACAAAATTTTAGCTGTTAAATTTTAGTGAGTGACTCCATATAATTCGATGCGATATGAACTTTGTTCAGCCATCTTGTACTAGGCTCAAAACAGTAATTCCCAAACTGAAATGGGTGTAATTCTGCGCATGCGCTGTTATTTGCTGGCAGAATCTACCTCAGGCTTGAAAACAGTCTAACACAGGAAAGAAAAGCAGTTAGTCTAAATATCTAAACAACTTCGTACTTACAAAATCTGCAATATTTATGAGTTCAATTATCAGAGAGTGATCGTGTGTACCTTCACTAACCAAATCGAAGGAGACAAAAACAATGACGAATCTGGTTTGAAAGAATCAATATATAATAGTAAGAAATATGCCCCTCCCCTACAAAAGAAAACTTTCTTGTTTTATGCATATTAAATATGTGTTTTTATTGGTCTTATGAAAGAGAAATTGGATCGAACATTTAGAGAAGAATATATTCTCATTCTTTTTTATTTACACATTCATCCATTCATCTTTTTAATGAAAGACTGTAGAGTTTACTTTACGACAAGTCTTAGCGATATTTCGTTAATGGCATATTCATGATCTCATCCCTGTTTGTCATTCCAGTGAATCCTCAACCGATGACTCAAAAACAAGAGGTGAAGACATTCTTGCAAGAGGAAGAGTCTTTGGATGTCTACTGCGGTACGGAATCATGCCGACCGAAAGTTTTGCAGTGCTGTGCGAATATCAAGGTAACGTAGAAGCCTTAAAAATAAGAATTATACTGGAAAATCAAATTTCTTGTTCGGAAAACTAGTTATCTATTTACCTACTAACCTACCTACCTATTCAAATCTATCTATCTATCTATCTATCTATCTATCTATCTATCTACTCCTCATTCCGCTCACTCCTCTCTATTCCGATCTCTCTCTCTCTCTCTCTCTCTCTATCTATCTATCTATCTATCTATCTATCTATCTATCTATCTATCTATCTATCTATCTATCGTCACTATTCGTTAGTCTTACCACCCCCTCTTTATTTATTTATTTATTTCTCAGTCTATTCATGTCTATCTATCTATCTATCTATCTATCTATCTATCTATCTATCTATCTATCTATCTATCAGAAACACGGCCTGAATTAATTTACTTGTATCTGTCTATAGATCTATAGACATGTATTTGACAAAGCTTTAACAAAATCAACTGCGAACACAGGCATAATAATTTTCTTATATCTGTTTAAATCTATTCATCTCTGTGTCTCTCTCAACATATATGCGTGTGTTTACATGTGTTTGTTCCTATCTATCTATCTATCTATCTATGTCTGTTCATATAATTTTCAATTTTTTGATTAACTGATCATATCTTCCTCAGTCCATTATTTATATATCTATATTAACGACTTTTTTTTAAGCCTTTTCATTATCTGTCTATATATCTATGTCTATTTATATCAATCTCCTCTCTCTCTCTCCACACACACACATATATATATATATAAAAATTACCTCAACGTCGGAATAGGGTATTTCAAACTGTGCTTTAAAGGCTTTCGTCAGCCACTAGTTACTTTTCTTCGGGGCGCTTATTTAGACAAAGTAAGACAAGTACCATCAGAATGGGCAGAAAATAAATAAAAAAAATTCTCTTTACGCCTTCTCCTGGTTGACAGAATGTAATATTTTTGAATATTTAATCCCGAAAGAGTTATAAGTTATTAACAATTGGAAAAAAGGTTTTATTATCGAGTATCGCCAGTCTGGGAAAAACAATATAAGTTTGAATTATTTTAAACACGCACAAATGCATACACCCACAGCACATTTTTCGTCATCCATCTGATGAAGCCATTAGAGGGGAAATGCATTATCGGATATTAGTTTCGAAATATACTTTGATGAGCGTTTTTCCAAATGGGAATAACTTATAACTCTGTCGGCATTACATGATTAAATTTATTATATCTTTCCATCTATGTTCACATCTTCGTCAGTCTATTCACTACCTATCTATCTATCTATCTATCTATCTATCTATCTATCTATCTATCTATCTATCTACCTTCATATCGTTGTCAGTTTGTTCATTATCTATTTTCATATCTTCGTCAGTCTATTCACCATATATATATATATATATATATATATATATATATATATCGAAAGTATGTCTATTATAAGTATATCCTCCTTAGAATTATCTATCTATCTATCTATCTATCTATCTATCTATCTATCTATCTATCTATCTATCTATCTATCTATCTTCATATAAGTCTTAGTATGTCTATTATCTATGTTAATATCCTCCTTAGTCTGTTCATTATCTATCTATCTATCTATCTATCTATCTATCTATCTATCTATCTATCTATCTATCTATCTATCTACCTTCATATCGTTGTCAGTTTGTTCATTATCTATTTTCATATCTTCGTCAGTCTATTCACCATATATATATATATATATATATATATATATATATATATCATTCTCAGTATGTCTATTATCTATGGTAATATCCTCCTTAGTCTTTTCATTATCTATCTATCTATCTATCTATCTATCTATCTTCATATGTCTATGTCTATTATCTATGTTAATATCCTCCTTAGTCGGTTCATTATCTCTATATCTATCTATCTATCTATCTATCTATCTATCTATCTACCTTCATATCGTTGTCAGTTTGTTCATTATCTATTTTCATATCTTCGTCAGTCTATTCACCATATATATATATATATATATATATATATATATATATATATATATATATATATATATATATATATATATATATTCATTCTCAGTATGTCTATTATCTATGGTAATATCCTCCTTAGTCTGTTCATTATCTATCTATCTATCTATCTATCTATCTATCTATCTATCTATCTATCTATCTGCCTGTTTCCAACCTGGGAGATATTAAAGTAAATCTCTTTCTGAGACTTCATCTGTATAACTATGATTTCTCCCTTCTTGTTTACCTTTGAATATGCACCTAATTAACGACATATTTTATTCCCAACTATCTTTTCGAGAAAGCTTTCTTTTGAGGGGTAAAGGTTCTTTCAAAAGTAACCTATGTATGTAGTCGCTTCCGATACGTCAGTTTCAAATCTTAATAAGCAAGCAAAAAAAAAAAAAAAAAAAAAAAAAAACGGTCACATCATAAGTTGATGATAATTAACAAAAATCTGTAAATCAGGTCAAAATGGTTATTTTTGATCACGCGATTAAAGATGATAAAATTTCATTCATTCTTTTTTACGTTAAGCTCTGTTTAGGTTGTTGTACCATAAATATTTTATGTTTGTTTGTTAAATTTATTCTTTAAAAACTGATGTGCAATTATATTTCATTTAACTATATTTTGACTATTGCCGCTGCCGTTATGTTTGCTGCTATGAAAATTGCTTCACTATATTGTGTTTGGCAAGTTTTCTTGCACGAATCTCATTTGCATATTACTAATATATTTTTAATAAAATCCAAAGAATAATCTGCATTGTCGTTGGTCCGGATCTGGCATCTCGGCTTCAGTCACTTTCCTACCGTCGTAATGTATTTTTTTTTGTTTGTTTGTTTTTTTTCTATGAATATTTTCCTGATATTTGTTCTGATTAACTTTTGTCAATGGGGTTTCATTTTTAAATGTTGTTATTTTTATTCTCCACCCCCAACAACCACTACAGACAAATTGTACATATAGGAACTATTTAGGATTACGTAGAGACTTTGAGGTATTACGGTGGCTGTATAAAGAATGGTAAGTAAGAATTTGTTTTGGTGTAAGGAATACTGTGGTATGCTTGGGTCAGTAATGGTGACAAAGTTTAAGATTGGCAGATTGACGACCAGCCTTTCCGTATCACCACTTTTTTACCATGTGCTACATTTCTGTATTGCTCAAAATAAATATTAATTTCCTCTATGGTACATAGACTCTTTGAATGTAAGGAGAGTACTAGATTGGCGGCAAGGTCTCATCTTTTTGCAGTTAAAATGACTAGATGTAACCGTAAATTCTAGGTTAACAGTTTCCTATCAAGCACAGAAAATGGAAGCCACATGACATTGCTAAGAAAATGACTGAATTCGAGATGCCAGGTCAGAACTGATTACATTATAGACCCTTCGATGGATTTTGTACTTTTTCTATCTCCTATATTATTTCATAATTCCTATATTATTTTATAATTCCTATAATATTTATAACTCCTATATTAAACCTGTGATCAACTTCACATTTGTAATTTAAGAAATGTGGTTAGCTTTGCCGTTTCAGACTATTTTTCTCATCAGAATCGATCTTGCAGATTTATAAATATACCCTTTGTTGGTGCATTGAATATTGCTGCCATATCTGGTTTGGTACCCTGGATGTATAATGTAAAGATTCTTGACAAAATCCAAAGAAGGGTCTGTAATGTAATCGGTTCTGATCTGGCATCTCGACTTCAGTCATTTTATTACCAATGTCATGTGGTTTCCGTCTTCTTAAATTCTCTACTTTTATTGTTTTTGCTCCTGGAATTTGATCTTCAAAAATTTAAATGCAACATCAATTGTTATCTTCTGTCTTCTTTATTTCTATTCTTTTTATGGTTATGATTCCTTAATATTTTTTCTTATATTCTTTCATACTCAGTAACCCATTGCGCTGTAGAGGTTTTCTTGCCAAACCTAAGGTTTGCTTTCCAAATGGACTCTCTTAACAATCCAACTATTATTATTGCTAGTGTATACCAGTCATCAAAACTGACGACAATTGTTAGAAAGTTTTAATAGAGATGCAATAAAATAAAAGATTTGAAACATTAAAGCAGAGATAAAGAATTCACAACTAAAATAGAAGACAATGAATCATTCAGTTAATTGTTTCCATTTATATTTTTTAAAGTTCAATGGTATTTATGATTCATTGATTTATGGTTATATATATATATATATATATATATATATATATATATATATATATATATATATATATATATATATATATATATATATATATATATAAGTTATGAAAAACTTGGTAATCCGTATGGGTAATCCCAGGGAGGATGAAATCCTGAGAAGCTCAATGTAAATCCGGGAGAAAAAGAAAAAAGGACCCTTTAAGGTTCCATTCTAATAATTTATTTAAATTGGTCTGTTTTTTCTTTAATATATATATTGATTGATATTATATATATATATAAAATCGATATATATATATATATATATCGATTTTTCCTCAATATCTTTTCATGTTAAACATTTCATGTGTTTTATATAACAGTGGAATGGAAATATTTCTCCGAAGAAAAAGATTAGCAACAGAAAACCAAAGACGGCGACAACAAAGAACGAAGTTGAAAAGGATCATTTAATGGACAAAGGTATCTGCCTGCCTCACATGAAAGGATTGAACAAATAAGACTACAATCAGAGAAACGCAGCAGAAAAGGAACTAATTAATTAAACGCGTCATTTTGCACGGGAATTAATATTGTTTCAATCCAGATAATTAATTATTTTATCTGTATAGAGGATGGTCCGAAAGTCATGTCAGCTCTAGATAATATAATTTTCTATTATATGATGGTGTTCATACGAACCTTCTCGATGTATGACAGTGTCAATGAAAGTGAATAAACTGAATCTAGTACATATGATTTGTATTACTGTATTACTTGTTCTGTTGTTCTCATTACATTTTCGTCGGAAGTGACAAGACATTAAAACCATATTGTAAATTATTAAAACGACTAAGGTAAGTAATCACTCATAAATTAACTAACTAGGTAGATTTATCTCCCTTCTCCCTACAGATCGGACAGGAAACATGGAAAGAAATACATATTGAAAATTATTATATGGCTTGATTATGTTGTTTCGGAATAGAATGTTTTTTTTTTAAATGAGTTAGTATTTTTAGTTAAACATGTCACTAAAATGTATTTTTTTTTTGTTCTAATTACGCAGGCTTTTACCTTTTTTATAAGCATCAGTTCGCTGCTTTCATTTTCTTTAACGATGTACCTGGGATCACAAGTGACAGCCATTGAGAAACACTTCAATTTCAACAGTGGCCAAAGCGGAATCCTTCTTGGCAGCAACGATATTGGTTTTCTGGTGTCTGTTCTCATCTTCAGTTATGCTCTCAAGAATAGCCACACACCCCGTGTGTTAGGGATCAGCTCTGCCATGTATGGATTGGCGGGTATCGTGTGTTCTATTCCTTATTTTTTTTACCCGGTCCCTTTTATCAGCAAAAATCAAACAGGTAAGTACCTAAAATAAAAGTTCAAGAATATACATTGCAGACGATTTGACATGGGGCAATATAAGGAGTTAGTTTCTCAAATGCGTTCATAATTTTATGAGTCGGATCATCACTGCTTGCTCTATAAATGCTGCCTCTTGCCTTGGATCGAACACTGACCTCTGGCATTAGTGGAAAATAGACAATTATTTTAGTCACTTTGTAGGCTGTCACGGCTTTTTTCTTCAATACAAATTTTCTCATCCCGGAGTATGTAACCCATTTGCCTGTTTTTTATATCGCCCTTTTTGCACTCACTTTCGCGTAAGTGCCCCTGGGTAAGGTAGGTATCTATTTCCTATGGATGATCATACTTGAAAGATATTATCTAAAATGCTGTTGGGATCAACAAGTATTGGTCCCGTAAAGGATGGATGTTAGGCTAGACATAGCCTGTTTCTTTAATGTAGGGTTTTTCATGTTCTTTGCACACACTTTCGTGTAAATACCCTTAGAAAAGACATGAATCTAACTATTCTCTCGACTCATGCTATGGGTTAAATAGCAGAGCAGAGTGAAGTCACTACATATTAATGGCAACCACTTTAAAAGAAAAACTCAAAATTCAGCCAACTGAAGCTTTTACAAGGATAGCTAGACATGGGGTGCATATATTATGTTTGTAAAACAATAACATAATAGATTTCAACATGATCGATGATCCTACCGGAGATGGATTATCTAGAAGTCTTTTGTGATCAACGAGCATTGGATACATAGAGATATAGAACGTAGAACTGACAAAAGAGCTTATTTCTCAGGGCTTCTCAAATTGGGTCCATAGAAGGATGTTAGGCTTGACAACTTGTTTCTTTAATGTAGGGTTTTTCAAATTGTGGTACCCAAGCTACTCCATTGCGCTCTCGGTATTTCACCATTTGTTATGTTCTTCACTGCGCCCCATACTTTCGGCCTTGTGCCACATCTAAGCCAGGCTTAGAAAATCACTATGTTCTTTGCCCACACTTTCGTGTAAGTACCCTTGGAAAAGGGCCTTCTCAAACTGGGCTAGGCAAGCTAATCTTTCGCAATATTGGCATCGGCAATATTTTTGATTATAAGTCCGTAAACTTCCCTTTCGTTTTTCTGACTGAGACGATTTGCTCTCTGTATATACCTTTTGATTAACAACTCATTCGGCATCGCTTTTGAATTACACACCGATCACATTCAGACAATTTGGACAATGAAATAGAATTTTAAATGATCAATTATTTCCTTAAAATCTCCTCTATTACAGTGTTCATGTTCCAAAGTGAAATATTACTTATGTAGATAACATAGGTAGTAGGGATGAAAACACCTTAGAACCGATTCAGATCCAAGACTCTCCCCACCCTTGGAGGAACCTAACTGAATGTGTCTTCAAGAGTGTAGCCGTACACACCACGTGTGTCCAATTCCGGTTTAGTGAAGCTACTTAACCATTGTTGAAGGTTTTAAATACGAAGTTGTCCTCCTACTAGTTTCGGTTTCCACCCAAGGCTATAGAACCCAATCTGTCCTTCTATTTACGTCAGTCGTTCAAAAAGTTCTAAGTCTTACCCAGAAGAAGTTGGCGAAACATGGCAGTTTTTCCGTATCTTTCACTATAAGTCCCCCTTGACATCAATGCATTGGTTCAAAGATGCTTAAGCATTGCAATACTATCAAAGTACTATCGAATGGCTCGGAAACTCTTATGATTTAAATATGATTTAGAATTTGTATCAGATATTTATCACACCCAGACACTATTGTCTTGACTGTCGGTTAGTTGTCCTACGGCCATTTTCTGCGATGGACGTCACTCCAAGGAAGTATACGAAAATTGTAACGCTGCACAAACACAATGGCAAGCCTTACCAGTGACCAAATCAAAGTACTATCTAATGGCTCGGAAACTCTTCTGATTCTAATCCAATCGAGAATCTGTGGTCAATCTGCAAGGGAAGACTTCGTGGAATGGACATACAAAGTACTAACTGTGCACCAGGATATGTTTCATTGGAAAAATACGAAAAAATGAAATAATAACGGAATTTTTCGTTTTGTTTCAATAAATATGCTGTTGGACCTTATCCAGAACCATACTGTGAATGGTATCAACTTGTTCATGAGTATTTGGGGTTTTTAAACGACCTGGCTGAGGGTCATTCTTTTGTATTGTCCCTGCCCCGCCTGAATTCTGCAGCTTGCTTCTTAACAGTTGTATAGGAAAAGGCGCCCTGAGCAAGTGTCTGAACCATGTTCTCATAGATTTCCTTTGATGTCATACCTTTCTTTTGTAGATACATTATGACTTCTTAGGACTCTGTTTTGTCCATTTTTAGATTTGTCGTACACCTGTCACCTTTTTATGGGTCTCACCTGCACTGAAATTAAAACAGAAATCTGCATTTCTTTTTTTCTAGTTTTATAGAAAGTGTTAGTGTGTTGCCTCAACAAAAATGTTTAGCTCTTCTTTCTGGGTGAGCCTTAAAATCTTTTGAACGACCCTCGAATCTATAGCTGGGGAAGCGAGATAAAAGGGGTTGGATTCATACCTTTTCCAAGGGTATTTGAATGTAAATGAATGTAGCCGACTCGACTAGAATTCGAACTCGGCTCTCCGATTGTGTTTAAAGAATGCGTGGAAAACAGAACAAGATTTTTCAATAATGTGTGGAACCAAAATCAAATTTTGTCTACTAGAAACGATTTACGTGCATAGGTCTCTGAAAAAATCGTAGAATTGCTTTACTTATTGACAAGAGCCATGTTCGCTCATCTCATTAAATAAGTAACAATATCTTTAAGAAAATTATAAACGAAACCGCGTGTCTCCGATCTATATTATGATAATCATATATTTTATACAATGATTTTCTTAATGGTAATATTTTTTAAAGGTAACATCAGGCATTCATTTAATGAGCAGCCAGTGCTACTTCTGCCGGAAATTTATGAAATCATTCTATTAAAACTATTTGTCGGGAAAATGGGTTTTTCAACTTCATTCACTGTTATCACTTTTTCTGTTATTGATAGGGACTTCCTTCCTGTTTGAAGTAATTTTGAATGTCAGCATCTTTATCCTATCATCATTTTTAACAAAACATTACGTTTTCCCATGGAAGTTAATAAATACTCCATGATGGTAAAATTTTCTGACTATATATATACAAATCTCATTTTTAAACAAAAATCCATAAAACCTTTCCGATGACATGAAGGTGTAGGGTGTGAATCTGTATTATACTCACCCATTTCTTTCTGCTCTCTGATAATTTCGGTCACAGTGTGTGATGGTTCCGATCAATATAGGAATGATTATTCGATCAATCAGACATTGATATTTGACACAAGACCGAACGGGAAGTGGCAAAAGGCTGGTCGACACTGTCTATCCTAGTCCTAGCTAATCAACTTCGTGAATCATTCACTCTAACAACTGACGTAATCACCACAAGAAACCATCCTACTCCGTCCAATCCCAACATGTGCCACAATATTACATTTTCGCCGGGGACCTATTAAAACTGCCCTGATAATAATAATTTCTGAGAATATATATATATATATATATATATATATATATATATATATATATATATTGTTCACAACACTAATATAATAGCATCATCTACATGCAAAAATAGGCAAAAAATAATGGAAGCCTTATTAATAAAAACAAAATAAAACAACACTTAATAATAATAAATTTGAACATGGATATAATATTTTGACCGTGTTTTGAAAAATGAAAACATTTTATAAAACTTACAACAAACTATTTCTTATTTTAACAATTAAAATATAATCCTTGAGCATGGCTAAATGTATAGCCGAAAACGCTCGGATAAAAAGAACATTCGGACATTATTTATATAATTTATCATCCGAAAAAAAATTATTAGATCCCATGAGAAATTGTATAAAAACTAAATAAAAGCACCTAGTCTGTCCTTTTCAATGAAATGTGCATGAAAGGGATTACTGCCGAAATGCACAAATATATATATATATATATATATATATATATATATATATATATATATATATATTTCTGTCTGTGTGTGTGTGTGGCCGGGCAATATCACCCCAGAAATAATAATAAAAGAGGATATGATGTAAAACAGAAAAAAAAAGGCGTTTTAAACAAAACAATATGTTAAAAATGCTGTAAAGACTTTGAAACGTAAATGTTACAGAAAGTTAATTTAGAACACGAAATACAATCTTTTTGTAAGTGTACCAAGGATATCAGATTACTAATAGAAAATTACTGGGACAATGATAATTGGAACTTTTAGATAAAGAAATGGATTTTGACACTTTAAGAATCAATTTAAAATAAAGGATTTTTGATTTGGAATTTATTTTTGAAATCGGACTCTCTGTAGTTTACAAAGAGCGGCAGAGTGATTACTAGCGAGATGATAACAATAGAGGGTGATTGTGGACCTTGGAACCCAATCGGTGAAAAGTAATCCTTTTACTCTCAAAAAAGGGAAAGTGAACTGTAAAATTATGTCAGTACGTTCGCACTAGAAAAAACAGATAAGTCATCAGTTCTCTACATAAAGAGGCGGGCCAACCGGAAGATAAGAGACTTTTAGCTCGTCTGTCTTCGAGTGCAGTCGAGATGGGTGGAGAGATGTTGGAGATTGAAAAGGAGTGTTCAGGTTCGTCTGTCTTCGTATGCAGTCGAACTGAGTGGAGTGACGTCAGAGATTGTAAAAAAAAGCGTATGTTGCATGCTGCTGAACGCGAGGCGAAGAGCGAATTACCGCTGCTAACGTCTAGGTAACGCTACTCCTGCTACTACGAATACTGCCACTTCTATTACGTTTATTGAGTACGGGAACATCGAAGGTTGTAGTAGTTGCGATTAGAACAGACCAAAAAGGGTGCAAACGAAGGCCAAAGAACTCCTTTCCGAAATTATTCGAAGTATTGTGTTTGTTTGGTTATTGTTCACATGTAGGAAAACATTCAACCTTGTGAGACAAGAATTATTTTTTTGTGTTTGCCTTTATATTTTTTATATATATATATATAACTTTTGTCCGTTCAAAATCGAATAGACTTGGATATCTCGCAGGTGGATGAACGGGGAGCTCCCGGATTTCTACGATCTGATGACCACTCTCCAGGACGAGAAAAATCACAAAGTGGCTAGAGGATGATTTTGAATTGAAATTGGGATCCGGAGACTTGTGTCTAACCTGTAATACTGGACCATACCAGAACAACGGCCGGTCTGGTGCAGTGCGTGTGTCCAGTGGGGTAATAATAGTGTTACAATTGGTGCCGTGATCAGGATTCGCCCCAAGGGCTATCCGGAGGACATAATCGGAAAGGAGTTACAATTTGTTGCCGTATTCAATATTCGGTGACTTGAACTAATCTATTCGCTTTGCTACAATTGTTAGTATATATAACAGTCGTTTTGAACTGTTATAACCTTTCCTAACCTACATAAGTTGTTTTTTTTAAGAATTCTGAGCTTGTTTGATGGACCTAATAATACGATTGAGTTTCATATTTCTCGACATACTCTATATTTATTTACTCTCGATCTCTTTTAATATTACTATTCCTGGTATAGAGATTTAGTAACCGTAGATCACATGTAGCCCAATGACCTAAAGTATGAACGATTCAGTGGGGATTGAAGCCATTACTCAATTGTAATTGATCTATTGAGACATGCTTGCTGACCATTACACTAAGTCCTTTCATTATTCTGCCAGTCTTACGATATGATACTAACGAAGAATATTTTCTTTTTAACTGTCCTCAGCGCAGCCATATCGATGTCTTTTAAGATTTACATGGATCTCTTTTTCTGTCTGTTTTTGATTTGATTTTGTCTAATTCAACATCTGTTCAACTATCAGTTCCACTAGATATCCTTCCTACCATAAGTATTGACTGCGTTAGATTTAGTTTCTTCCAACACTACACGATGCCACATAACCAAAGCACCACCCAAGGAATTCAAGCCATAATCTGAAACAGCCTCTTCAGATCTTGACTCTCATATAGATGTCATGAATGGCGCTCAACTCGTTCAAAAATATCTAAACTGTCAGCTTTATGCAACCAAAATCAATGACTTCGTGCAAATGATGGATCTAGCTCCTAATGAAGGCAATTCCTCGTCAAATTTTGTAGACTGCCGCAACAAAATCACTAACAAAAATGCTAAATAATAAAAGACATATAATTAAAGACTTCTTAGCGGCAACTTAAATGGATACCACAAAGAACAGTTTTTTCCTTCTAATAAGATTACGTATACACTCAAGAACTTGACTTTCCACAATACGTTAAGCAAAAGGTTATGAATGAAATTCCCATCAACACTAGAATGAGCGATAACAGTGGACTTAAGAATTTTTGAATTCCTGAAAACAGAAATAATTTATGAATTTCAACCGACAGTCGCTAACTTTTTAATCAATGAATGACGTACGTTTCCTGTATGGAAATAGCTAGTCTCACCAATATATTTACCATAGCCAAAATCTTCAATTATTCAGGCTTTTGCCTTCCTTTAAAAGTTGATTTTTCAGATTTCGTCAGTAATTTTGAGTTCTTGTTTTTCTATTTCTACCGATTTAAACATTACCTTTTTTTGTTTGTTTTGTCAACGGCACATCAATTCCTTATGGGTCATTTAATGACAAAATTTAATTTTCTTGAGAGCATTGGAGTAATGAAACATGGTGTTATTCTGCTTTCACAACTGAATACATGGTAGATGATTGTTTGTTTATTAGCATACTAACTCCTTATAAATCAATTAATGCCAGAATTTAATTTTCTTACTTGCATCAGTAATTTATTTTACAAAAATGTAATCCTGGCAATGTTATTTTTTTATTTATTTTGGTAATTTTTTACTATGAAAATGTATTGCTTGTATTTTACTATAAAAAATAATCATAATTTTATAGTGTGTTGACACCAGTTTGGAGGTTAACTATTTGCCCATAGCTGGGACTCTAACATGTACTAATCTCCGAGTCAGTGTGGCCTTGGGAACAACGGCAATTAAGACGTGATTTCCCGATCAGAGTCCTTGCTGCCGGGTGTATTTTATCTTTATACCCAGAACATAACATTACTTTCATTATTTAATACGTTTTTTTTTTTCTATCTTCAGACACTAAATCAGAAATAATAGAATCTCTTTGTGAGGTGGGAAGTGTACACCCAAACGAGACAGTTGTCTGCGAGAAGATTGGCAGCAAATATCAGTCCCACATCGGGGCGTTCGCGGTGATCCTATTTGGGATGATTCTACAGGGTCTTGCAAAAGCACCTCGTTCTCCATTACAGGGGTCCTACATTGATGACAACGTCAAAAAGACCAAAACAGGAGCCTACATGGGTCAGTTTATGCACCATCATCAAAACAACCTCCATCAACAATATCGCTTTCTTAATAGTCTTGTTACTCGTAGGGACTCCACAATTATTAACATAGTTTAGCTCCCGATTTTTTAAGCAGGCAATTACTACAAGGATTTTACTAGATAACTTTAATAATAATAATAATAATAATAATAATAATAATAACGAAAAACATTGAAGTGAGGAAATAAAGAAGAATGTAATTGTCTGAGGTGAGTAATTAAGGCAAGCTTTATTGATCTAATGGTGTTTGAATCCTAAGGATGAGGACAATGGCTTAGTGGCTAAAATCATTGGTTCGCGAATTTGGTGATATAATTATTGTGAGTCAAATTCCTGCGTCAGGTAATTTTAATTGCACTCAATCGAAACATCCCACCAATAACTGAATAGTATTAAATAAGAGAAATATGCATGATTAGTGGGAAGCGAACAGTCTACCACCGTAGATTAAATAAGGGGTTCACTTTAGAATCCCCTGTAGGTTACCCATATCGATATACACCTGAGGAAGGCCGGAAGGCACAACGACCAAAAAGTTGTGATAGCAACAACAAAGATGAGGACAATAGTCCGAATATATATAGCCTAAATAATAATCTAAAGTGGGGTATATATAATGCAAACAGGGTGTTTTGACTCGGTCTAATGATTAGCCAGATTTTGTGGCTAGATAAGATACAACTGTATAGTGAGTTCGATCCTCAGTGAGCACTCCATACCGGTGCTACATCTAAGCCACTCTTAACAAATCTCTATATATAATGTAAATTCATTGCTAATGAATTCACCACATGAATGAATTTTGTACCAAGGAAAATTGGAATGTATGCTGGTGTTACTGACCTAATGGAGCTGTTATATTTTCTATAAATGTTTTATTCCTGTGACTTCTTACGTAAGTCCGCTAATGTCTGCTGGGGCCAGTATTGGTTAGGTATGTTAAGCTACATCGGCTACATAGTAAATCTGGAGATCTGGTATGAATATATATTTCTAACTTAAATTCAGGTTTTACCTTTCCTTATCTCTGCTTGAATAGAACTTCTGCATTTATATCCCGCCATTTTTGCTTGTAGCGGTATCTGATTTCAAATGGCGGAAGCGGATGTCACATGAGAGATGATCGATTACTTAACGAATTGCTTGTGTGCCATTCTTTATGTACGCTTCAGCGATCATGTCTCGTTTCGTTTACTTGGCAGAATTCCCGCAGTAGGCTGCCATTACTTTTTACGAAAGACTGTTCTCTGGCCAAAGCTATAAGACCCAGTCTGTCCTGCTATTTAATCCATGCTTTGGTGGATTAATTATTACTTTTTTCCAAGAGTGTTTGCACATAAATAAATGTGAAGAACTCGACTGGAATTCGATCTCAGCTCTCTAATTTCTCATTCGTTATCCTGATGGCTAACCACCAAAATAGATGACAGGCTTACATGATCGACTTGTAATCTCTCATGTATGAGTATAGCATACATTCTTTTCTTTTTAAATTTCTTTTTAGATTTCTTTTTAAATTGTCGAAAAAAATAACTTTCGACGCAGTAAAAGGGGGTGGGGCCCCAGAAGAGAGCCGCAACAGCCTGGTAAGGGTTGCAAAAGGAGTCCTCCTCTTGCGACCCGCTCCAACTAGGTCTAGTAACAGAGAAGAAAAAAAAATCTTCAGCACGACAATTAAGCAGTCACGCGTCGGCTGATAGAGAAGATAGGTTTCGTGAGAGTACGGGGGACGATTTTTATAAGGAGGCTAACCCCTTCCCACAAAATGTTAAACAGTATTAAATAACATTTACCGGCCTGAATGTCCGAGAAATTTTCATAGAAAATATTCGTCCTTTGACAGGATTCGAACCTGCATCCTATACGGAACTGTCATTTACGCTGACGTGCCTTAACCGACTCGTAAATGATGATTCCGTATAGGATACAGGTTCGAATCCTGTCAAAGGACGAATATTTTCTATGAAAATTTCTCGGACATTCAGGCCGGTAAATGTTATTTAATACTGTTTATTATAAACAGAGCATTTACTTAAATACTTGTATCTATAAAAAGAATGTTAAACATAAAAATGTCTTTAATAAATTGTCGGACTTTGTCCAATTCTTAATATATATATATATATATATATATATATATATATATATATATTACAATCTAGACACTGACGTGTTTTTCGTATCTTTATAGAAATTTAATTTTAACTTAGTAAATCGTGATTTCAGGTGCTGGAACCATTTAGGACCGTCAGTGCAGCCTATTTACAGCATCTTTGATTTCACTTTTTCTTCCACTGTCCTTCCAAATCTCTGGTGGTCAATCTGCTCCGCGATTCAACTCATTGCTTCTCCAGTTGATATTATTGCGAAATGAACGAAACTGATTCGACCTAAATTTCATGTCGGCTCACCGGTTTCACTCTCTATACCGTTAACCAATACACCGTTATCAAACCAAACGGACAGTATGATAATCTATGAAGTGAACGTGGAAAAAATATGGTTACTTATTCTCACTTCATGAACCGAACGAAATTGTGTTCGGCAACTTTACTTTCCTGCCAAAAATGTGCGCTTGCAACCATATGTACATGTGCATGTCTCTTTGCGCATGCGCGTGTTTATCTTGTTTTTATGGTGGGGGTGGGGGCTTTTTCCTTACATATTTATATCGTTTTTTTTTTTTGTTTTTTTTGACAGGTTTGATTGTCGGCATTTCAATTCTGGGACCAGCCGTTGCGTTTATGTTGGGAGGGATTTTCAGCAGAATTTACGTCACGCTTGAAGGTAATTCGATTTCTCCTCCCTAATTTTTCCTTTTCTCTCGCTATCCCTTACTGCCTCTCACCACTCCCCCCCTCTCTCTCTACCATTCTCTCTCATTTCAAAACTGACAATATTTGTTACTGTCTCTTACTGTTAATACCCACTTGTTTATTTTCTCATTTTCTCTTACTTTAATCAACATGGCATACCCTTAACGAAGTATTGGAAGTGTTTTGTATTTACTAATTCTACATCAGTACTTATAATGGATTAAGTTATGTGCAATCACTGATTACATTCCAATTCCAGGATATAATTTCTTTGTTTGGAAAGGTTTATCTTGAGTTCTGTTTCTTGAAACACTTGATAGGGAATGCTGAATTTCTATACAAGATCATTCCTACCCCAATTATGAATACCTATGACATCAGCATAGCCCCCACCCACATTATAAGTACATTGATCTCGGGTGGGAAAGAAGGATCGTTCTCTTCTTTTGCTAGATTCGTTTGGGATGTGGTATGGAATGCTTAAATAGTCACTGTCCATCTCTTAAATTCGATATATGATTGCAAATACGCAAGGTATAGTCCCGGGAAAAGATGAGAGAGAGGAGAGCTCTCATTTCCTTGTTGTCGAACGCCTGATGAAGGTTGAAATGTTTCTGTACTTTGGCCCTCGCCAGACTTGTAAGATTTTGAAGGTCGATAGTGTTCCTCTGTTAGATTGTTTCATTAGCTTGATGGAAAAATTCTATTTTATTAACTATGGAACTAGTAATGAATTGTTACTCGCTTAGTATTTGGGAGAATGATTCGGTTATTTTTTTAATACTGAGTTTTTAGAGGAAGTTTAGAAGAGAAATCAGATGCAAGACTACGATAATCTTAATTATAGAACTGCTATTACTGTGTTACCATTGGAAAGGCACTTGTAAATTAAAAAAATAGAGAAAACAGAAAAAAACACTAATTTCTGACAGACTGAAGATATACTGATGGCCAGATGAAGGAAAATGAAAGAAAATGATATTTGTTTTTAATTGAGAAAAAAAATAGAAAAAAGAAAGTATATTGATCTCGAGTGGGATGTGGCATAGAATGCTTAAATGGTCACTGACCGTCTCTTATATATGATGAATTTCTATTCAAGATCACTCTTACTCGAATTATGAATATCTAAGGCATCAGCATAAACCCGACCCACATTATATGTACATTGATCTCAAGTGAGAAATAAAGATCGTTGTCTTCTATTGATAAATTCGTTTGGGTTGTGGTAGGGAATGCTTAAATGGTTACTGTCCATCTCTTATATGTGATATATGATTGCAATTACGCTGGGTATTGTCTTGGAAAAGATTAGAGAGGGGAAATCCCTCATTCCAGGTTGTCGGAATCCTGATGAAGTTTGAAATATTTCCATATTTGGGCCCTTGCATATATGTAAGATTTTGCAGATCGATAGATTTCTTCTATTAGATTGATACATTAGATTGACGAAAAATATTCTGTTTAAATAACTATGTGTTGTGGTGTGATCCCTCTAATGAGGCTATTGTGGACTCTTACAATTACTAATAACTTAATAGGAAAAGTAGGCCTCGGAGAAACAGTGATATAGACTGAACACTGGTCAACCGACACACACTCCCAAGTCGTGTAACACATTTCTGTTGTATTTACTGTCCAATACACTATTTATTTGCAACCTCTTGTTTTGTTATTCCTTAAGCAATTACTTGGTCACAACACTATGTCTTAATGAACTGTTACTCACTTAGTATTTGGGGGAATGAAAGTCAGGATTCAGTTTTTTTTTAAACATTGAGTTTTTAGAGCAAGTTTATAAGAGAAATCCTCTGCAAGGCTTCGCTCATCTTAATTATAGAACTGCTATTATTATATATGTAGATGTTTACCAATAATCTGAGAATGTTCGCAGGAAGACCGTTAATAAGAATGAAAAAAAAAAAACAGAAATTGAGTCGGATCAAGCTTCTTAGATGAAGCACTGTCAGCCATTAGTTAATTAGTTGCATTCCTCTCATCTAATTTATTGCAAAATATCAAAACGAGGCTCCTATTGAAAATTAAACTCCCTAAACCAGTTATATTCTACAACATCTACTAACCTTTACTCTACTCGTGCCTCAGTACGAGTTTCAGTTTGCAAATTACGGGGCTCTAAATTTGAGAGTTAAACCACAGATGTCAGATTTATTAAAAGAGAAAATAACAGACTTAAATTAATAATTCTTGATAGTACCGCTATCGAATGTTACCAAAATATAAATCCGCGCTCCGGAT